CCCAGCCCCTGTGTGCAGCAGGCAGTAAATTTTTCCTCTCTCCTCATAAACGGGGCCTTCCTCCGCTCAGCGTCACCTGGCTGGCAGCGCTGTCAAAAAGACGGATGCCACAGCTGCCTTGTTTATGACTTTAATTCCCAAACCCTGTTCTTTGGGCTCTCCGGGAGGGCATGGGAGGAAAGGAGGAGGCGGGCGCTATCTTCCCGTAGGCTTGACAGCTGCAGAGATGCCCCTCTCAGTGACCCCAGCTCGATGGGATTGGGGGGATCCATGGGCCATCTACAAGTGCTTCCTGCAGATCAGCTCCCATCACTTCCCTGGAAGCCGTGAGGGAGGTAGCACTCTACTGGGGATGGAGCTCTTGGGAGAATGGGAGGGGATAATATAATTCCCATTGCACAGATGAGGAAATCGAGGCCCCCAGAGGTGAGGTAATGTGCCCAAGGCCACATGGCTAGGAATTGGCAGCACCAGGATTCACAGCCAGGTCTGCAGGACTCTAATAGCCGTATGTTTGAGAAAGAATGAGTGCTCTACCATACCCCCAACCCTGACCCCTTCAGCACACACCAGTTCAGCCTCCAGCTGCCAGCATGTGCCACCCTTCTGAGGCTTTCTTGGGTACAGGAGCCCTCTCTGCCCAGCCATTTGGCAGGTTGGAGGTGCCAACGAATTAATGGCCTTCAGGAGCATCCCTCCACCAATGACTGATGGGGGCTGGCACACACATACCCCGGCTCCCTCTCGCTCTCTGTGGGATGACTAAGAGGCCTGTTCCTCTGTCTCAGGAGGATTAAGCTCCAATTGTTCACAGTGGCAACCAGCTTGATCTCACCCTCTTTATCTCTGCTTTCTCTCCTCTTTCCTGGAATCCCCTCCCAAATCAGCTACTTGCTATCAAATCCTCATTTTGGGGGAACTCCACTTCAGACAGCCTTGGAGGATGAATCAAATCTTTCCAAGTGTAAGATCCCAGGATGAGAGGGTCCTTCCCACCCTCTTGGGTGGTCACCAGGCCCATCCATCACCTGGGGTGGGAAGGAATGGATTTGGCAAAGCAAAGGACACAGGAGTGGCACCTGTTCTCCGTGAGACCTTGAGCAGGGCAGGCCTGTGGGACTGAAACAGACAGAGGCCAACTATGGAACGTGAGCACCCAGGAGAGCACAGTGAGCTGATCCTGAAGAGCTGAGGGGAAAGTAAACTCTGGAGACAGAGTGGGGGCAGGTGGAGAATAGGTCTCACAGAGCATGCCCGGGCTGGCTGAGGGCAAGAGAGAGGGGCCCCGGAGGAATGGGAGGGAAGGACGGGAAGGGCAGGGGCCTTTGACAGCCAGGCTGCAAATCAGCTCTGACAGCTCTCTAGCTCTGTGATAGTCACAAGTTGCCTCAGTTTCCTCTTCTGTAAAATGGGAGTTGCATCTGTGACCATCCATACTACCCACTTTCAGGATGGCACATTCTTTCCTCCGGGATCCTACAGCAGACAGACAGAATTGGTACCAACAGACTTGGACTATTAGATTACCCAATTGCCTGTCTAAATCCCAGCTCTCCCACTTCCTCTCTATATCAGCAATAACAATCATTTTATCAGCACCTTCTCAGCCAGCCTCCTCACACGCTTTATCTCCAAACCTCACAGCTCACTGAGGTGGCTGTTGCCTTCCCTGTTCTACTGACAGCAGCTGAGACTCAGAGAACTTAGATAACTTGTCCAAGGTCACACAGCAGGGAGGAGGCAGAGTCAGACTCAGATCCAGGAGTGGGTCCTTCCCCTGCCCCTGCTCCCAGCTCTCTGTGGGTGTCACTCCAGTCCTCCTGGCCTAAGGCCTTCTCCCGTGGGACAGGCTCAGCTCAGGAGCAGGACCATGGGGAAACCAGAGCTGCCTGCCTCTCCCCCAGGGTGTCAGGTCCCACAGACATTCCCAGCAGCCCCCTCACCCACCCCTCACCTCACACAGAGATAGACTGAGAGGCTCACCTCACCTGGCCTGGGGCCACACAGGGACTCTGACCCTGCTGGAGCTCCCAATGCAGCAGGAAGGATTCGGGTCAGGTGAGATGTAGCACGTCCACTAGAGCCTCTGCCCCTTTGCTCATGCCTCCTCACCTGCTTAGAGCACACGCCGTCCTCCCTCCATCACCCACCCCTCCCTCCATCACCCACCCCTCCCTCCAAGCCAGAGGGTCCCAAACTTTGCTGCATAGTACAACCACCTGGGGCACTTCAAAAAATCCTGATGCTCAGGTTGCATCCAGTGCAAATTAAACCAGAATGTCTAGGGTAACTGAATTTTTAAAAGATCCCCAGGTGATTCCATGTGAACAAAGCTTGAAAACCACTGCTCCAGCACTAAATACACATTAAAATCACCTAGGGAGCTTTGTAAAAATCCACAGCCTAGGCCCCACCACTGAGGTTCTGATCTAGTTGGTCTGGGGGTGGCGCCCTGGTATGTGTTAAAAGCTCCCAGGTGACTCTAACTCACCTCCAGGCTTTACAGCCACCACTTACAGATCAGGAAGTGCCTCCATTAACACTTCACTTCCTTCTGGAGACACCCTCTGGGCCAGCTCATCAATCCCGTTGCTCAGATGAGAAAGCAAAGGCCCAGAAAGGTTGCAGAGCTTGCCTCAGGCTCACGGCAAAGCTCTGTGCTCTTTTTTTTATTTTTTTATTTTATTTTATTTTTTTTGAGACAGAATCTCACTCTGTCACCCAGGCTGGAGTGCAGTGGCACAATCTTGGCTCACTGCAACCTCCACCTCCCAGGCTCAAGCGATTCTCGTACCTCAGCCTCCTGAGTAGCTGGGATTACAGGTGCCCACCACCACACCTGGCTAATTTTTGTATTTTTAGTAGAGATGGGGTTTCGCCATGTTGACCAGGCTGGTCTTGAACTCCTGACCTCAGATGATCCACCCGCCTCGGCCCCCCAAAGTGCTGGGATTACAGGCGTGAGCCGCCACACCCAGCCGAGCTCTGTGCTCTTCTGAACCCTGCTCCAGTCCTCCTTCCCCACCTGAGCTAACAATCAGACCAAACGCCTCCCTTAGGACTGCTGGAGAGGTTCATGAATCCTGCCCCAAGGACTAGAAGTCTGGACAGAGCCTATAGGAACTGACCAAAGCCTTCTCCCCTCCTGTCCCTCCCAGACAAAGAGGAGATTCCAGAAAGCCCTTCTCCTTGACAGCCCAGACCCCTCAACGGCCTAGACACTGGGTCCAGGAGGCCCCAGCTGTCCATCTTGCCACCACTTCCAGTCTTCCCACCCCATCCTCACCCCATCCATCCCCATCCTCACCCCCGATCTAGGTCTGCTGATGTAAATCAGGGTGCCCATACAATTTGCCATCCCACATGGGCACTTCCAAGAACCAAAGGGGATGCTCTCAATAATTACACCAGAACACGGGAGACAGGATGCATGGCCACCCCACACAGGAGGGCTCAGCCTCCACACCCAGGCATCTTTGCGCTTCTCACACCTCTATTGTGATTACTGCCTGATTCAGGCATTTGCTGAGCAGCCTCGGGCAAGTCACTTGGTCTCTCTGACTCTCCATATCCTCATCTAGAGTGCAGGAATCTTACGAGTTCCTAGAGTTGCTGTGAGAGTGAAATGTCTTTCACATTTTAAAGATGATGTCCGTAAAGTGCCTGAACATAGTAGATACATAGTAAATAGCAATGTTTATGTTTAGCTTACCCAGGAATACATAAGCCCCACATACAGGCACACACACCCCTTCTCTCTCAGGAACACCAGCTCTCATACACATGCGAAGTCACGTGTCACAGGTGTATACACACACGCTCACACACTGGGCACACTCGCATACCTGCACTCATTCTGCAGATCAGGTGGGTTTGGCTGTGAGCTTCTCTGGGTCCCCAGTGGTCCAGTGGCTGCACGTCCCTGTGGGCTCTGGCCACCAGAGGGCAGCATGCTCCCCACCCACCCTCATCACACTCCCTTCTCCCCTGGCCCTGGAGGAGCTGACTCCATGCGGCGCGTCCCGCGCCCTTTGACCGAACTGCACGATCAAGTCTGGGAGAATACAGGAGATAACTCATCATCTTCGATTAGGCACCACTCAGGCTGAGAGGCACCAGAGCACCCCAATGTTATTGAGGCTGGGTCCTGCCGCAGAGTGACCCAGACCCAGGGCGCGCAAAGACCCCTGTCTGGATGTATCTGAAGTGGACACGCCATGATGGCTCCCTAGGGGGCGGGGAGCCTAGGGCTCAGACCCGGGAGCAAGTCATGCTCTACCACCCTCTATCTATGGGAATTCAAGTGCCTCTACTCACCTCCTCTGAGCCTCCGTTCTCCCATCTGTAAAATGGACCGATCACTGCCCCTCCCCTGCGCGGCTTATCCCTCTCATGTGCGGGCTCAGATGTCACCTGCGCCAGCAGGCCGTCCCTGGCCACTTCACAGTTGCAGTTTCAATTCCCCTCACACTTTCCATTCTTTTTATTGTCTGTTTTGTTTCTTCTGCACATTTCTGTTCTGACATATTGTATCATTCACTCATCTTGTTGATTGTCTCTCTCCCCATTAGAATAAAAACTCCAAGTGCCGCTGGACTCTCTTCACTGCTCTATATCTGCCAAGCTTAGAACCGGGCAAGGCACGGCCTAGGAGCCAAACTGGTGCTTGCTGAGTGACTGAGGGAACCCTGGAGGTTAGAGGTGGTTTCTGGAAATTGCCCAGCCTGGTGTGCGTCAAGACTGGAGGGGTCAGTGCCGTGCTGTGGGCTGGCCAGAGGCCTTGCCACTCCCAAGGATCTCAGGGCCACACCCCAAATCGGCTGTGGCCCCGCCCCTCCAGGCCCCGCCCAGGCCTCCCAACTCCACTCCAGGTGCAGGCCCAACTCCACGTCCTGCCACCGCCGACAGACAAAGGGAGACTCTCGGCCTCAGGCGCCCAGGTTCGGCCCTCCCCGGCTCCTCCTAGAGCCCGCCCGGCCCTGCCCGGCCCGCGTGCTCACTGGTGCACTTCTTGACGTGGCTGCCCTTCTTGAGGGCGTGGCGGCTCAGCTTGCAGTGGAAGTTGTCCTCCCAGAACTCGGCAAACCAGATGTTGCGCCGGTTGTTGTCCAGCGTGCGGCTGGAGAAGTAGCGGTCGAAGCCTGGCAGGGAACCGGGACGTCAGGGCCTCACTGGCCTCCTTCCCACAAGCCCCAGCCCTTCCCGCCTCCCTCAGGATAAGAGATGGTCCAGGCGGAGGGAGAGAGACCGGGAGGAGCGCATCCTCTGATCCAGGAGAAAACAAAATGTGGAGCATTTCATTTCATTCAAAATGAAAAGAGCTGTATTAGGTCCCAGGGGGAGCGTGTGTAATCTACAACTGCTGCCTTTATGGAAGAGAAGCACACCGATGAGGATGTTTCCGCGGCCTTTAACCGCTGCAATGCTAACAGCAGGCTTTGAGAAGGGGCCGCCTGGGAGTCCTGAGATTACAGCACAGAGGCTGGTGGGGCTGCCCAACCCTGGGAGCACCTGAAGAGGAAACCAGGTCAGACAAGAAGGGAGGGGACTACCCCGGTCACACAGCAAGACCAGGATTTGGACCTTCTCCCTTCACATCCAGGGCGTCCCCGTCACTGACAGAGGCCACCTCCCTCCTCCACGTGCTCTGCATGGCTCACGGTTCTGCTCTCAGCCTGGGAAACCACCTCCTAGGGTGGGCAGGCTGGCGGTGAACAACCTCTCCTCCTCCCAGACACCCCTCCTGCCATACTGACTGTTCCCGGCACTGTGTACTGAGCTGCTCTGTATGAGCCAGAGGCGTGAAAGCTCAGTGGGGCCCACGTGGAGCTTCCTGCCCATGCAAGCGTCCAAGTGGAAGCAAAATGACTGGCCAGGTGGCAGGAGACGCACTGGCATCGAGCAGGAGGTTTGGCCTGCAGTAGGATTTCTCGGCCTCGGCACTGTGGACACTCTGGGTGGGATAATTACTGTGGGGGGGCGTCCTATGCACCGTACGATGCTGAGCAGCACCCCGACCTCTACCCACTGGATGCCAGCAGCAGCATCCCCCAATTGTGACAACCAAAAATGGCTCCAGAAATTGCCAAATGTCCCCTTGGGGGGCAAAATCATCCCCAGATGAGGACCATTGTTCTAAAAGCTTCTCTAATGTTCCTGAGAGAAAAGGTACTTGTCAGGCAAGTCCTGGATTCCAGTCCCAACTCTGCCACTCGCTGCACTGTGTGTGTCTCAAGCTCTCTGAGCCCTGCGTCTCCATCTACTAAATGTGGGGAAGAATGCATCACAGGGTTGTTGGGGAGGCTAAAGGAGATGTCCGTAAGGGTCCTGGCATTGGTAAGCACCATAGCAGTTATTGTTATGTTGTGTTTATTATGGCTGGCGGTGGTGTGGAAATTCTCGCTGTGTGTGTGGTGGGTGGGTGGGGGGGGGTGTTGGATGTGTGATGGGGTAAGGGATGTGGGGATGGATGAGCCAGGAAGGCATGAGTCTGAGAGGGCCGGGGCTGGGCAGAGGTGGTTCTGGAGCCTGAGTCAGACATGGGGCAGGTATGGATGTGGGGGGACAGATGTGGTCTTTGCAGGGACAGGCATGGGCCTGGGGGATCACACTGGGCCTGTAGGCAGGTGTAGGCCCAGTGGGTCAGGTTTGGATGACAGGGTAGCCATGGGCCTATGGACAGGTATGGGCCAGGGCTAGAAGGAGTCATGGGCCAGGGAGCTCCCTCTGCCTCAGGATGAAGAGAGGACACTGCTGTGTGACTTTGAGCAAGTCCCTCCCTTCATCAGGCCTCCGTGTCTTGGGAAGTGCCTTGGAGAGGCAGATGTCTGCGGTCCCTCCCAGCTCCATTAATGCTGGATTCTATTGAAGGGAGGGAGGACAGGGAAGGAGAGGGCCCAGGGAGCCTTCTCCTCATGGTGAAGACTGCCAGGTCCCTGCCCATCAGGCCATCAACGGGAACATCACACCTCACTCTCTGTGAAGTTCTGGCCAGAGAAGTTCGTTCCTCCCCAGGTGACTGTGGGTTCTGCCCTGAGAGGAGGGGATTCAGGGCGAGGCAGGCCCAACCTCAGCACCATCCCAGGGCCCGCCAACCCCAGGCAGTCTCTGCAGGAAAGGCCTGTCCTGTAGCCCTGGCAGGGTGGCTCCCAGCCTTTTCCAGCAGTGGACTCTACACACACCTTCCACCCCAAAATTGTCTGAGAAGAAAGGAGGGAAGGTCTTGAATCTGGATTCAAATTCTGCTGTGTTGCGTGTGGCCTAAAAGACCTCCCAGTCCAGAACCTCAGAACATAAGAGGCTGTGGGCTGCCGGGCGCGGTGGCTCACGCCTATAATCCCAGCACTTTGGGAGGCCAAGGCAGGCGGATCACGAGGTCAGGAGATCAAGACCATCCTGGCTAACATGGTGAAACCCCGTCTCTACTAAAAATGCAAAAAATTAGCCAGGCATGGTGGTGGGCGCCTGTAGTCCCAGCTACTCGGGAGGCTGAGGCAAGAGAATGGTGTGAACCTGGGAGGCGGAGCTTGCAGTGAGCTGAGATCGCGCCACTGGACTCCAGCCTGGGCGACAGAGCGAGACTCTGTCTCAAAAAAAAAAAAAAAAAAAAGAGGCTGTGGGCCAAAGAAGAGGAAAGGAGGGATATGGAAAGGGGAGGAGCAGGAGGAGAAGGAAGCCGAGGAGGGACAGCAGGAGGAGCAGTCCAGGTGCCGACCACCTGCACCTGCCCGGCCTTACCTCGTACAGACATCCTCTTGGGGAGGATCGTGACAGCGCCCTCAGCCACCTCCTCCAGGTGCAGTACCGGTGCAATCTTGGAGCCCCAGCTGTCAGAGCCCATCCAGAAGAAATGGCCTGTCTGGTTGGCCCTTCGTGCTGCCTCCAGCACACGCCTGTAGGAACACACGCCAGCCCAGCCCAGCCGTGTCTGTCCACGCAACTGCCCCCACTCCTGGTCACACTTGCTTTGGGCCCACGTCCCTGACCCCCAGAAGCCCAGAGTCCACAACTGTCCCAGCACCCATGCTTTCACCCCCAACCCGTGGATTCCCCCTACCCCCTGCCCCTACCTGCCCATAGACCCCTGGCTACTGCCTCATCCAACCTGCCTGTCCCTGGGCCCATGCCCACTGCAGGCCCAGTGTGATTCTCCAGGCCCACATCTGTCCCTGCAACGACCACACCTGTCCCCCCAGATCCACACCCGTCCCACATCTGACTCAGGCCCCAGAACCACCTCTGCCCAGCCCCGGTCCCCTGAGACGCACGCCTTCCTGTCTCATCCATCCCCACATTCCTTGCCCATTCTCACAGGCATCCACCATCACACAACGGCCGCCCTCACCCCGCTGCACATGCTGCCTTCTGCCCGCAGGTCCCTCTTCATTCACCGCCCTCTGTGCCAAAATTCCAGGTCCTTCAGAGAGCTGCGCCCCACACCTTGAGTGGGAGTGGGTGATGGAGGGAGATGGGTGTGGAGCCAGCCGCCCAGTGCTCACACACAGCCCAGTCTGCCTGTGATGGTAATATAAATCAAACCAGGGACCCGAGAGCCCAGCCTGGGGCCGAGGAGCCCACAGCAAGTGCTCAGCTGGGACTTCATGGAGGCATGAATTAAGTGGCCCTTCAAAGACATCTCGGAAGGGAAAAACAAGGAGGAATGAGCAGAATTCCCCTAACCCAGCTCCCACGAAGAGAGACTGAGGTAGGGAGGAGGCAAGGAACTTGCTCACAGCCACACAGCAAGTGAGAGGCTGTGATACTACAAACTGTCCAGGCCCTTCCGTTGGTGAGGACCAGGGCACAGACTCCAGGGCCTGGGGGTGGCTGCCGGGCCTGTGCAGGAGGCAGCCAGCTGGGGCTGGAGGGCCTGGGCTTCCAGGAAGAAACAAATGTTTCCAGGCCCCAGAGCTTTCACCTGAGCTGGCCTTGTCCCTCTCATCCTACCCCATCCTCCTCCATCATCTCCCAACTCCTGAGGCTTTCCAGCCCCACTCACTGGTGTAGCCCGCCCCCCAGCCTAGGTTACCACTAATGGCATGTAAGGCTGCTCTCAGAACCCACACCCACACCCTATTAATACCCGTCTGCATCCGGCCAGCCCGAGATGGCCAGAGCTCCCAACCATCCAGCCCTGCAGAGTCACCTGGATTTATTTTTACTTCTGTTTGCTTCTGAAAATGCATGTGGATTTCCAGAAATGGCCCCCGCCTCCTACCCCACTTCCCACAGCCTGCTCCGGAAGTCAGTCTAGCTCCCTTCCAGCCCTCCCTTAGGGGCCTCTTTGCTGGGACAAAAGGCCCAGTGCTTTCAGTCCCCCTCCCAGAATGTGGGTCCATCTGAGCGAAGGTGTCCTCAAAAACAGCGGGCCTGGAGTGAGCCGAATAGCTGGGTGGGGTGTGGGAGCCAAGTCTTGCCAGGCTTTGGGATGGGAGTAAGGGGCAGGAGTTGGGGAGCACGGCCTGGTGACTCAGAAGCTTCCCCAGGAGCTGGCTGAGCAGTGGCCATCATAAACGTTCAGAGCCAGAACTCAGGGGACCTGCACGCCTCAAGGGACTGGGTGCCACCTCTGTGCAGCTCTGAGGGTGTCAGGATGGGGCTTGAGGGCCTCCCCTCCCTGGTCTTTCGCTGCCTGAGACACCACCATTGCAGCTGGTCCTTTTGGCTTTTGAGGCCGTGATGTTCTTCCAGAAGCCCTCCTCCATCCCTCCAGGGACCCACGAATGGCCTGGGAGGGTATCTGTTGTGCAGCAACTCTGGAGTCCAGGTTAGAAAGTGAGAAACGGCTTGGGAGCACTGGTGAGGAATAGGAGAAGCCGCCTGGGAAGAACGGGCACACAGAGCAGCCTTGGCTGGTCCAGTGAGGGGGAGTCTGAGGGCACAGCAGGCTCTGCCAGCCCAGACCAGATATCTGAGGAGACCTGGCAGGGGCCACATCTGCTCTCACCCTCCTCTCTGAAGGAGAAGTGACCAGCAGGGACTAGAGAGCCCTACCAGATTCTAGGCAGGGCTGTATCTCCCCTCATGCTGGGGCTCCCTGAGGACAGGGCTGTGTCTTCCCTCAGCCTGGACTCTCGGAGCCTAAGCCAAGACTAGAACCAAACACAGCCCAGAGCTCTTCTCTGGACTCTGAGCTCACCACAGAAAGGAGGGAGGGGCTGAGAAGTGGCCCACATTTACTGGGCACCTATTTCATGTCAGACCTTACTCTAAGCCTTTTATGCACATTCCTGCATTGAATTCTCAAATGCTATCAGGCAGGTATCATTAACTCCTTTGTGTTTTAGCAGCAGAGGGCCAGAGAGGTTAAGAAATTAACCTGAGGTCACACAGCGAGTAGGTGAGAGAACAGCATTAGAACCTAAGTGGTCTGGCCCCAAGCTCACGGCCTCAGCCCTCTGTTAAAGCACCCAGGTAGCCATCCCTAGCAGGTGGAACGGATGCAGGAAATGGAGGGAGGAGGGAAGGGGTGCCCCATAGCAGAAGCCTGCGTGCCAGCCTGTGGGTCTCCCTGCCCATATACACACTCACCCACGCCCACCTCTCCGGATCCCAGGGTGGGGTCAGGCTCGCCCGGGAAGGTCTCCAGCAGGACAGGACCTGTGGCTCTGCCCACATCTGCATGGTTCCCGGTGCCCACCGTGCTGCCACCTGCCCTCACCTGATGTCATCCTCATTGGCGAAGATGATGACTGCCCTGGCGTTCGAAGTCTCCAGGAGGCGGCGGATGATCTTGTCAAACTCGCCTGCCTTGGGCTCCCGTGGTATCTTCACCGACTGGGCGATGCACACGCCCCCTGCAGGAGGGTACCAGTTAGTTGGGGTGGGCAGGGGAACCTGAATCTCCCCACCAGTCTCCCAACACACATTCCAGGAGATGGGGGCTGGGTGCTGCCTAGGCTCCCCAGCCTGACTCCCAGCCCTGGGATCCCAGTCTCTGGATATGGGCTGTGCAGTCAGAACAGCTTCAGTACCAATCTTGGCTCCACTTACCAGCTGGTGACCCCGGACATGTCACTTAAGTACTCTGAGCCTCAGTTTCCCCATACAGCAGCTAGAAGCAGCACAGCGTCATGCTTAGGAGCTAGACTGCCTGGGTTCAAATCTCAGCTCTGCCACTTACTGCTGTGTGACCTTAGGTCACTTACTGGACCTCTCTGTGATGCACATACATCACCTATAAAGTGGAAATAATGGCATTACCTATTTCATAGAATCGTTATAAAATAAGTGAGGTAATGCATATAAAGACAACATCCGGTACCTAGTGTTTAGTAAATGTTGATTATTTTTATTGTAACCCCCTCATAATGTTTCTTGGAGGGTTAAAGCTGGAAATAGAGCCCACCCTGAGGCATCAGTCCCTGCTACACCCATATCCACGTGCTTCTCAGGGCTCCTGTCCCTCGGTCCCATGCCCATCACCAGGCCCTTGGTAAGAGCAGCGCGCATGGCCACTGGCTGGAACCATCAGAAGAGGGTTAGTACTTGATGTTGCCAGGATTCACGACCAGACTGGGTGGCCATCAGAGACCCTGGGAGCACTTTGTCCCAGCCAGTCCCCAGCCCCAGATATGCCTCTCAAGTGCTGGCAGGGGACAGATGTCATTCATGTGTTTAAATCTCACCCGACCTCGTGGTACAGAGCATCTGTGGGCCATGCTTGTGTCAGCCACTGCCTTTGACAGATGAGGAAACTGAAGCTCAGAGAAGTGGCTTACCCAAAGCCACACAGTTACCTGCCCTACTGGAGTCCAGGAACTGGAGACCCCCAGAGAATAAGACCCCAGAAGCCCATGGTGGCAGTCAGTGGAAAAGCATGAAGGATTAATTTTGAAGCCAGTCCCGGTATCTAATGGAGGCTGCCCTCCTCTGGGTCCCACACAATGCCTCAAACCAAACACCTTGGCTGGGCACCCCGGGCTTCCAAATGACCTGGAGGTCCAGGCTGGGGTCACCTGAGCCTTCTACACAGACTTGCCCCAATACATCAGAAAATTCTAGGTGGAGCTGCCAGGGGCTCAGAGTGCAGGGGACATGACTACCACCAGCCCCACAGGGCAGTGCCAGCACCCAGCTCCACCCACGGAGGGGTCCCTACCCATGGGTAGGGAGATGGCTGCCAGGGAAGGCTACCCAAAGGCAGTGACACTGGGCTGAGTCCTTAGAGGATGCAAGTGGCCAGGCAGTAGGCATTCTGGAGAGAACAGGGTACGCTCTGGAAGGAGTGGCTGCTCTGTGCCAGGCACCCTGCTGGCCTGGGCCCACAGGACACAACACACACATGCATACACACACACGCACATGTGCACACACACATACACACACACACAGCTCCTTAGGGCTCTCCTAAGACACCAAGAAGTCCCAAGTGCTAGAGAAGAGCATGGTTACTAGGAGCTCATGGGGAGGGGGAAGGAGCAAGGGTGCTTGGGCAGGACTGGGGTCCCTGTCAGTCTGGGGTCACAGAGGGAGCCAAGGGAGGCAGCTGCTGGCTGCACCGCTGGCCAGGCTGGCTCTCAGCTCCCAACTAAACCCTCCATATGGTTTCTTTCCACTTAGAAAGTGGGCCAATTGCGACATTTCTCCCCCCATCTGGGGAGACAGATGGACAGAGGAAAAGGCTGGACTGGGAGGAGAGGGAAGGGAAGGATGAGCCACCTGGCTCCAGGAGCGGAGAGGAAGGCAGGAGAAGGGAGTTAATTGCTCTCAAACAGGGAGAAACTGTTAGGTTAAGTCCTATTTCTGAGTGATGCTCCTCTAAGAGGATCCATGTGATGGTCCTGCCTGGCACCTCAGGGCATATCTTGCAAGCTTCATTTTGCTGGTGAAGGAAGGATTAGGTGACCATGGCTCAGTCAGCAGGAGTGTGAGTGAGCCACAAGGTACTTGAGATGCTAATGCAGTCTGAGGGGGGTTTGATATTCTTCCAACTGCAAGAGATTCAGACCAGAGGGGAGTGCGGGGGAAGGGGGTGTGCAGAGCTCCATAATACTAATGAACATTTATGGAGTGTCCAATGCATGGGAAATGCTATTCTGCAAATTTTACATGGATTCACTCATCTGAGGCCAGTGTAATCACCACATCTCCAATTTATAAATGAGGAAATTGAAGCACAGAGAGGTTAAGTAGCTTCTCCAGGATCATGAAGATAGTCAGGGGCAGAGCTGGAGTTTGAACTTGGGCCATCTGGCTCTAGCGGCCACCTTTCAGCCAGTCATGTAATGAAGGGACAGGACTGTGGAGTCGAGGGGGTTTGTGGGCCCTTGGGCAGGATGGGGCACGGCGCCCATCCTGGGGTGAGTGCCCACTGGTGTCGCTGCCCCCAGGATGAGATACCAAGTACCCGTGGGGTCCCTTTGTTTCACAGCCCTGTTGTCAGCATGTCTGCTCAGGGGAGTGGGTAAAGGAACTGGCTCACAAGTCAGGCCCTCTTCTGGGATGACACAGACTCCTGGCAGTGGCATAATCTCTGCCTCAACTGCTCTCTTGGTGCCTGCTGCAGCCAGAGACGGCCAGAGCGACCTGAGAGGCCACTGAGCATCCACTGCATGCCTGGTACCATGCGAGGCCCAGTCTCAAATCCTCACACATTAGCCAGTGCTAATATCCCCATCTCACAGATGAGGAAACTGAGGCTCAGATTGTGAAATAGCCTAACCAAGGTCACACAGCCAGTCAGTGGGACTGCAATCCGGGTCTGTATCCAGAGCCTCCCTCAGGTGGAGAGGCCCCCATTTCCTGCGGCCCCTCCCACTCCTGGACAGTTCCCTTTTCTTGCAAAGCAATGACTTCGCAGCAGCCACTGAGAATAAAGGGGCAGTGTTTCACGAGCCAGAGCCTCTTCTGCAGCCTCTGTTTAGGTGGGTTCGTGTACATGTGTGCACACATGTGTCCACACAGTCACAGAATGCACGCACTGGCACAGATCAATGTCCACCATCACCACGGCCCGCCCTGTGCATTCCAGGCCACGCTGCTACAGACCCAAAGTCACACCAAGCCCACCAGCCATCCCTGTGCCCAGCCCCTGGGCCACATGGCTAACACTCCCGCAGATGCATGTTTCAAACCTCTCCCCCGGGGAGGGGCATGCCTCCTCACCCTGTGCCCTTCCCCCAGTCTCTCTCACTGAATAAAATAAGAATCCATGGGTCCATACTGAGAGTAGATATAGTCAAATTAAACCTCCCAAACCCTCAGGGAACAAGCCCGCTCCGTATCTCAGGGCAGAGACTGGGGCCCTCTACTCCTCAGGCTCCAGGCATAGGACCATATGGGGAGGGGGACACAGATGAAGAAGGCTGGGTGTCCCCATGGCCTCCTTGGCTCTCCCAGGTTCCCCTTGGCAAGCCCCTGCCCAGCCTCCTGCCAGGACCCCAGCAGCCCAGGCTGCTGACAAACACCCGACTGCCACTTGCCAGCTGCAAGCTCTGCCATCCCAGCCAAGCTGGTGCCTCTGCTCGCCGGCCAGGGGCAAGAAGCCACAGCCACTTGCCAAGAAAATCTGAGCATATCAAGTCCGTAGGAACCTTGGAGACCTCCTGGCCCAAGCTGGATGGAGAGTGAGGAGATGGAGGCCAGAGAGGCCTTGCCCAGGGGCGCACAGTAGCAGGGGCAGAGCCACCTCCAGACGAGGCTCTCACCACTGCACTGGGAAGTTTGGGATCCAGGCCAGCGCCTGACTGCTTTCCAGCAGGAACCGCTGTGTCTCCCAGCTCTGTGCCTCCTCCCCAGCCGACCCAGGCTCCACACCTCCCCTTCTCCCTGGGCTGTCCCACCCATCAAAACTGACTTATGCTTGGCCCCATCCCTCGGGGCCCACCTTTACTACAGGGCAGCTGGACACCTGATCAAGGCGTGTCCATCGGAACCCTCTGCAGAACCACATGGCAGCGTCTAGTAAAGCTGAACGCGCTGGCTGCCTCCAGGCCAGTGCTTCCCCATCCACACACGTCCCCAGGGAAACCCCTGCATGTGGGCATAGGAGACCCACACAAAGTCACGCAACACAGCACTGCCTGAAACTGCAAAAAAATGGGAATAACCTAAATGTTTTATAACAGAAGAATGAATAAACTGTGGTGTGTTTGCCCAATGGGCTATTGTGGAGTTAAGATGAATAAGAGTTCTCATGTGTCAGCATGATAAATCCTGAAATCGTAAAATTGATGGACAAAAGCAAGTTGCAGCAGAATCTGTCCCATTTATGTAAAATCTAAAGACCACATATAATATTTATGAAGACACATATATATTTGCTCTACATATATGAGAAAAGGCTGCATGAGGGCAAGAGACTTTGTCCATTGTCTTCATCACACTCTGCCCGGTGCCTAGAACACTGTCTGGCACACAGTAGGTGCTCCAAAATATTTGTTGAGTGACTAAACAAGGACAGGAAGGGAACCTGCCACCTTTCAGAATCATGGTTACCTGGAGGGAGAAGAGAAGAACAGGACTGAAGAAGGTTCCGACTCAATCCACATGTTATTTCTTTAAAAAATAATCAGGATCAAGCAGATGTGGCAACATGGGACTACTCAGCAAATCTGGGCCACAGAACCCTGGCTGGACAAAACTTTTAGACATGGGTGACAGCAAGGGCGCTGCGGTCCTCATGTGGGGTCGCCTGACAGAGAACACAGCAGGGCACACCGGAGTCTCCCTGTGTTCATCTGTGAAATGGGCTGCAAGGCCGCGGCTGGCCCAAGGGCTTCCACAGGGAGGCTGCCTGCCTTCCTCCACCTTCCTCCACGCCCGCCTGCCTGGGGCTGCCTGCCTCTCTCCTCCC